AACAGGCGGTGGTATGGGTCAGGCAAGGAGGCCCAGGGGCTGTCTGTGACTGGGGTGTGGAAGACACGGGCCACGTCACTGAGGGCCACCAGCTGCCCCCACACCAAGCTGTGTGGCCTCCCTGGGCTACACCTGCCCAGCCAGTCTGTCTCTGTCCACGGCAGGGCCTGGATCTTTCCTTGGCCTTCTAGAAGGTCGGGACCAGCTGACCTTCTAGAAGTGGGACCAGCTAGAGGGAGCACCTGGGGAGGGAGGGACCCTCTGCCAGGCAGATGCTGCCCTCTGCTGGCGCCAAAGGGAAGTCCACTCAGGGCCTAAAGCCAAACCCACTGTCGGGTCCACGCTAGAAGACAGAGCAGAACTGGCCCTGTTTCCGAGACTGTGTGGGGCAGACGGCCTCGTCTTTCTCCCGAGGGCAGCTGGGGGGTGAGGCGGCCGATGTAGATCACTCGACCACACCATGCAGGGCCGAGCCTGGATCACCCACAATGGCCTCCCAAGTCCTCCGGGAGATGGCCAAGGAGGTCGCCTGGTCCGGCCACCTCGTTTGGAACATGGCAAGGTTGAGGCTCAGAGCGGGGTGTTCCTGGCTGTCCTCTGACACACGGGGTCACCGGGCGGCAGACTCGGCTGGGGGGCAGCAGGGTTGGCATACTTGCCCTGGGTGGGCTCGACACGATAGGAGGAGCACAGACATGGTGGGAGGGAGCCGCTGGGGTCACCGTGTTTTACACACTGGAGGCACAGCGGAGTCGCTGAGACAGCCCCCTCCCCCCCAGTCACATGGTTCAGGCGTGGCAGAGCCAGACCTCAGACCCCAGCCAATGCAGCTACTTCGAAGCTTCTCCCCGAGGCCTGGAGGCCTCGTGTGGCTGGTATGGACAGAGCAGGCCCGAGGCCGGGTGCCAGCAGCCCCAGGGAGAAAAACACCATTTCCTTCAGCCCCTGGTCTTGTCACCGAGGAGTGAGCCCGGCACCTCCTCCTGTGTGGACAGGAACGCAGACACACTGGGAGAGGTGCTGGCCAGGCCTTGGGCCCCGAGGGTCCAGGCTGACATGCTGCCAGCGCTGGCCTGATGGACACCTCTGCCTCTCCAGGGCAGGAAGCACGCCCAGGTAGAAGGAGAGAGAGCAGGGTGACTTAGGAGGAGCAGGTTGGGAAATGCCTGCTGTGAGGCGTCCCAGGGATCCCAAGAGCCCCTTGTGGGAGGGGGCAGCCAGCCTGCGTGGCTCTGGCCCAGAGACCTCCACAGGAGGAGACCAGAGGGCCCTGTCCCCAGAGTGCCACGTGGGCGACAGCAGCCCCATTTGGGTAGCACTTTCCTTCTGGAAGCCCTTGGGTAGTGCTTGCCCGTGACCCCAGGACCTGGGTCTGGCTTGTCCAGACTCAGCCTGCGCCCTGTACCCCGAGGCAGTCCATGGCCAGGGAGCACCCACTCCCCACCAGACGTCTTCTGGGGTAGCCTTCTCTAAGGGGTCACTGCAGCCAGACACCACCCCTACTGAATGAGCTCTGGCTTCCCCCAAGGCCCATGGGGAGCCGCCCGAGGCTGGGCCGTGCTCACGCACTCAGCAGGCGTCCCCCAGTCACAAAGCAGCACTGGCCCTGCAAATGCCCGGCACCCTGAGACGTGCAGAAGAGGGCAGGGTCTGCCCTGCTGCCCAGAGATATCTGGGACGGGCGACGGTGTGGGCACACACCAGCCAAGCCCCCGGGAGGAGGACAAGGCGGGTGCAGGAGGAGGGGCAGGGTAACCGTGGGCGAGGACCACCCCGGCTCTGATAGCCTTGCTCAGCTCGGGCAGGGGGGCTCCTGCCCACCAGCCTCTGAGAGCAGCGTGGCCCGGCCAGAGGCCAGCCGGGCACCGACACCTCTCAGAAGGGCTAGCTGCCACTAGCAAGAGCGTCACTGTTCCTGCTCCAGTCCTGGTGGTGGTTATTAGTGTTGTTGTTGTTGTT